TTAGACCCCAGAAATCCCAGTTTTCTGCCTCGTCTTTAGCAGTTCTTGCTGTAGTCATATTGTGTTTTCTTCTTAAGGGTATAATTGACAGCTGATTCCTCTTTGTTAAGCACCAAGATGGCTGTCTTCTTGTTATTTTGCAATTCTTCTAGGTATGTTTTAGACCTAATTGTTTGGATTATCTGTTGACTTCACACATATAGATCATGCCCAAAACAACCATGAATCATAATGTTTTCAGCCATCTAGTGTGAATTTTGAAACTGTTACAGTTTATATAAAATATAACATATTTTTCAGCATTATTTGTTGCATGTATTGAATTAATATAAAACCACGTCTTTTCGAAGATGCTGTAATTATTTAACCAACGTGACAAAGTGCAAACTAAATGTTTATGGCCTGTTGTGTCTCATAATTATTTCCAAAGCTGTATGTAAGTCTGTCTTCCTCTCATATTGACCTTTTACTTCAACTCACCAGCATAGACATGGTTTCCCTATCTAAGGGGACAATGAGCAGCAACAGATATTAAAGCTCATCGAGAAAGACGGTAAAACTTTGCTTATGTCCGCTATGTGTACTTTACTGCAATCTGCATATTTGTGAGCACAGCAACATCCCAAACTATATCTTAGTATGTTGGTGAGAGTCGGATTAAAAACGACTGTGTTCAGTAGAAAACTGACAGTATTATCTGATAGCTTTGATTTCCTTCCTCAATGATGGGTAGTTTGGTTTTGCACAACATCCCCACTGCTCAAATGGCACAATATCTATAATCCACTGACTACTGGGTGGATATGTTAAATTTAGCACATCAGAGAAGCATGAACCAGTTAAGAATCAGCGCCAAGCCTCTGAGTCTTTCCTTTTTATCTTGAGAAATACTCTTGGTGAGAGATCGGCTGAAGAAAAGTGCCATGCGTGTGGATGAGGGATTCACTGACATTTGCCGAGGGCTTTCTTGAAGCGTTTCCCATTAACATGTCTTAAGACGTGGTGCGGCTGCCGATTGAGATGTCTGAGGGTCAGCTTGCAGAAGAGCTGATTGCTAGAAAACACACAAGAAACATTAGAGAGTTCTGATTAGCCTCTAAAATAATAATTTTTAAAAATCCTGGCATTTCATTGACAATCAGGGCAGAGAGGATTATCACACAGAAACACTTGTGGGCAACTAAAGGTCTCCTTACGGTTGCTTTGTGCTTGGCACGATGTGTGGCTCATACTGGCTGTAGTTGAAGTCTGCTGCTGCACTCAGTCTCTCATATTTCTTCGCCTTGGTGAACTTCTGCAGCTCCGTGAGGTTGCAAGGAAACTCGTGGCCGTTCAGAGTGCATTTGATCTGAAGATAAACAGATAAATGATACTGATGGTGATAAAAGTGGTAATCATTCAGTGGTTTTTAGTCTTTGGTCAACACATCTAGCCATCACAACACCAGCCTACCAGTAACATTAGCATACAGCTAGCATCACAATGCACGATTACAAGTGTTTTTCCTTTAAATGTGATGTAATTTGCGCGCTGACCTTTTTAGCATCTGTGAGCTGAAGAAACGGGTGATTAAGAAGAAAAGCTTGGAGGTCCGCAGGTAATTCATCCATAGCTCAGAAACACTTAAAAACAAGATTGTTAGCGTGCTGATCAGGTCACCTCCCGAAACAGTCCACACGTGGTTTGAGTGCGCCGACTGTTGAACGATCTTGGCGCCATCCGCTGATCAAAGCAGGGAAAGGCAGCTTAGACGAAATGATGAAGCTTTATCCTATCATCATGGCAGTTATCACACATGAACCTTTGATTAAATTAGTACAAATAAAAACAAATCAAGAAACGGTTTTGAGTGGTGGTAGCAGGGAAATAGATGAGATAAAGTGAGCAAAGAAAGGGGAACACGTGTAAAACTGCGCACAGTAAATCACAGACACATCAGTGTATTTTAATATGTGTAGAATCAGCTCTAGTGACTGTACTTTTTCGGCCACAGCATAAAAATACACGTTAATAGGCTCATGTCAGCTGCTCGCACTGAGTCCAGTCAGCTGACTGTCAGTTCCGAGTCAGAGAGGTGCCTTAGAAAGAAGAGCGCTCACTCTGATCATATTTAGAGAAACCGTAAATGCAGTCGAAAAATAAACTGCGGAGGTGTGTGAATTAAAAATCTGGACCATGTTTGAAAACAGTCACTAGTAATAGTAAACGTAAACAGACTTTCAAACCTTCTATAGTGCAGAATTGACGATATTTTAACTCAACTATCCATCTGGTAATTCGCACAGAGTGAGACATCTTCCTTTGAACTGAAGCCCCGCCCACATTCTCCCAGAATTCATTGGCTCGATAAATAGATAATTTGACGTTTGCTAAAAATGTCAAGCTAGCTAACTGGCCGTGTCTGAGAGCTTCTGCTGGACAGAGCGCCTGAAATTAACGTTAAAGTAGACCCTAGTTAGCACATTTCTTGCTAATTTAGTTGAATTTAAACAGTTTCTCGTACAGGGCTTGTACGCATGCTAGTTAGCTAGCTGGCTAGCTTGACAGCATAGCATTGCTCACGTAACTGTTTTTGTAACAAAGTTAAAAAACGTGAATATTTAAATAATGTCTGGACCAAATGGAGATCCAAACATCTGTACTGACGACGGGATCATCAACGACGAAGATGAATTTGGCGAAGAAGGTAACGAGTACTTGTCCATTCATTGTAATCGATACTAATTATTACTGCAGTTAAAGACGAAGTCAGCCTCTAAAGCTACTCCACTGTGCTACTGTGGTGATTTTGGTCAGTGAAACTAGTTTAGTCAAATTATTCAAACTCTACGTGGAGCTTTAAAACATGTCAGGTGTTGTAGTGTACTGGATTTACAAGATGTCTGACTGAAATGTGCATTGAACTAAGTTTGATGTTGGTCTGCTGTGTATCTGCCCGAACTAGAAATAGTGCAATGTAGAACAGATAACATCATTGCTAGTGTCTTTTCACCTTTCAACTCGAGACCCTCAATCATATCAACAAAATAAACTCATCTGTAGAGTTAAGATGAGAAATCAGGTTAGAAATGAATCTTCAAGCCACTGGTACATGCAGTTAACAACTTTTCTGTGCTATCTGTCTGTTTTAGCCATTTGGCCTCCAATAATACAGTTGTTGATAGTTGTGGAAGTCAAAAATGGGCCATTTTGGCAGTGCTCACTGTGTCTAAATTAGACTATTCAGTAGTTTCACATGTATAACCATACACTGTAAATCTGCTACTATAACACAGACAAACATGAGCTTGGCAGTGATCAGACAGTGATGACCAGTACACAGACATTCCCTGGCCAGTGACTGTAAAAGGACACCTTAAAATGCAGCTTTATTTAAACGATATGATGCCACAGATGAAAAGAAAGACAAATCAGTTTGGACCACAGCAGAAATCTTGAATATCCACACCATTTGTCATCTACGAAAGCTCTGGATAGCCATGTTCAACAACGTGACTGTGTTCCTTAAAATTTCACAAGCAACATTGACAACCTCATTAACTCTATGCAGCATAGATGTGCAATTCTTTAGTGGATTGTGATTTCTCGTCTGTGACCTCACTCTTCTGCTGTTATCATTTCCCGTATAGTGCATACTTGGTTGTTTCATCCATTCTGTAGCAGATATGCTGTGTGCTGGAACAACAAATACTTTTTCCTTGATGTTAAAAAGATTGGACAAAATTTCACAAAGCATTGCATGCTGCATATATATAATTTACTACAATATTTTAATACTAAGTATATGTATAGTCTCTGTGATATGTGCTCTTTGCACAGCCTGACAGAACAGACTAACCTCCCTCCTGCTTATCCACAGAGTATGTTGCCATCAACTCGATGCTAGATCAGATCAACTCCTATCTTGATGACCTGGAGGAGCGCAACGATGCACTTAACGGCAAATTGCACGAACTGCTGGAGTCAAATCGGCAGGCCCGTCTGGAGTTCAGGGCCCAGCTGCTGGGTTCGCCCGACCAGGAGGAGAACTGTCCTGCAGACGGGGACCCGTCCTCACCCAGCGGCAACGAAGACCTGAACAAGGATAACGAGGGCTCACAAATGACTGACAAGAGCGAGTAGGTCAGAGGGTTGTGTTCAATAAAAAAGCAGGGATAGAAATATTTATAAAAGCTGATTCAACTCCTGACCTCTGTGTGTTGGACTAGTGAGCGCTGATCTGGATAGTCCATGCCTCTCTGATTCATCTGTCAATTTCCACTCCTGTGAGCCAACGTGTGCACATTTTATATCTATTCTATCACTGCAGTTCTTCTTTTTTGGTGAACTCTGCTGATGTGTGTGGCTCCTGAGCAGGTCGATTTAAAGCAGCGTCTCATACAAGCTGGACATCAGATACTTTCCATTGCAGACTTGTGAAATCAAAGTCAAATGTGTTGCAAAGTAAAAAGCTGCTCGTCTGTGTACAGAGAATTGTTTAGGTTCACGTGGGAGATCAAAATGACTACTTTAATGCAAATGTGTTAAAAGATTTTGAAAAAGGTAATGAAAAGATGCAGCAATATTTATTAAACAGTGCTCGAATTACAGGATTAAGCTCAGATCTGCTCCTAGAAATCAATTATGGTTGATGTAAGCGAGAGATTTGGCTTTTCTGAAGCAAGAGATGTGAATAATAAATTCCTGAGCGTTCTGTCCACAGTAATCTGCGCTACCGTCTTTGTACAGATCAATACATCTGAGTCAGTCCGTGTTACAAAATGGGTTACAGTCAAACTCCTGAATGCATTTCTGGATTTATCCAAGATCTGTTCAATGTTTGCATTGGCTTTGCAATAGCTGTGGTCCCTGTAACTACTGTGCTATCCCAAAATGTGTAGCATTCCCATCTATGTGTACCAGTGTATTGTAATGCTTCATCTGTTTAGGATAAGTCTGAAGAGTGTCTGTACGTATTAAGTGTAATCCATGAGAATTAAAACTGAAGTCGACAAAGTGTGGGAATTGTCAGACATTTTATTATAAATTAAGATGACTCCCAAACAGAAAACAAACATCCAAAAATACATTAAACTTCCAGCAGTTAGAAAACATCACCTGTTTGTTCATCTCAATTTGTCAGTAGCTGAATAAAAATACAATAAGAAACATACAGCTTTGTTTGAAATTATCCTTTACATGTCCTTTTTTTTTCTTCTTCTTCTTCTTCTCTCCCTCTCCTGCTCCATTCGGTTTCAGAGCTTTAAAGTACACTTCAGATCACGTCTTGTTCCTTCAGAACATAAAAACGATACTAATCATGTGACAGTCGCCACGATGACTACGAGAGTTGCTACATGTGTCAGCCAGTCCTTTGCGGTTTAAAATATCCTTCGCTTACGTGGAGGATGAAATGTTTCCAGAACAGCACACTGGTCATGCAGGAGGAAGTGAAACAATTCGCATCCCAGTTGTGGTCGTGATGCCACAATCAAATCGATTTTGTATAATCTGTAACTGGGTTCATGTACTGTATGTTGCAGGTGCTTCAAATCGAGAGTTGAAAGTTTGCAAGGATTCTTCAGACACTTCATGAATTTTCTTTGAAAGTAATTGCGGACCATAGGCTAAAGTTTGTTTCCCTCTGTCCAGTGTATAGCAACTTAAATACTCTTCAATGAGAGGAACAAAAAAACAAAGTAAACTGGAGTCAAATAAACACCTCTAACAACATTGTTGTGCTGTGAATGCTTGCAGAAGCATTTTAAGTCCGTTGAAGTAAAAACAAAAAACAAAAAAAACAAACATCCCATGGGCATGTGACACCCAGTGTGGTTTTGCATAAACCCTCGGTGGTGCCAGCATGACCCATTCTATGCAAATGCTTCTATATTTATGGATTCTGAGCTTGCAGCAGCCTAAACCTTCTAAGTGTTAAAATATGCAATATGCAGACATAGCGCATGCAGCCTTTTGTGCACACGGGGGAGCAGCTCGTAAATGAGATTCAGGGCCTGATTAATAGCAGAGGCCTTTTATTTCTTGCTGCGGACGAGCTGATGAAGCCGTCTGCTGCTGGTCTTTTAAGAGCTCCCTTAACATTTCAAGAGCACATGATAAGACTCTTTTCATATGACTGTCTGCACATTGCATCAGGATTTTTGAACTCTTCATTACACAATAAAAAACAAAAAAACTAAAAAAACTGTTGCTATTGCAGATAATAGGCCAATAAGAATGTGTGTAAAACTGTCTTTTAGGTGAGAACGCTACAGCTGCTGACAACCTTCTTTTCTTCGCCCCAAACACCACAACATCAACTCGAACCCAAAATGTCAACAACTAATGAAAACAAAAAGAGGATAAAATGCCCTGAACCAAGCTATGATCAGACTCAAGAATCAGTGTTTCTCAATACTCAAGCCAAAGTACCATTTTAACACTTTTTTTTAAAAACAAAAAAACAAAAGATGCCACCTGCTCAAACACTTAGTTTAGTTACATTCTACACTTCAGCTTGCTAAAAGCGTGTGCTATGTGGTTAGCGATGTGGAACATGTCTCCACTTTACCATCAGTACGGCCTTCTACACGTGAAAGTTTTACTATTCAGTCATCTAGCTAGCTGGAGAATGAGCAGAAGCCGACAATGAGCCCTCAGAAACATCCTGATCCGTGAGGATAGCAGGGTGGAAAATTAACATGTCGGGGGACCAGCCACAGAGAACACCTACCCCGTTTAAAACCTGGACACTGTTTGTTTAGAGGGGGGCAGAGCGGTTACAGTGATTGCAACCTAATAAAACTGACAACACATGGATGTGTTTAGCAAATTCATGTCACACCACATCTGTAATTTTGGGTATGAATGAAACTTTTGTGGCTGAAATCCAACATCATGTCTTAGTTCCACACTACATACTACCTGTATACAACATAACCTCTCGCCTATACACCCTAGTGTACAGTAAAACAGCCAGAGTATAGTGTTGTGGCAGTTAGTAGACATAAAACAGCCCCTATGAGTCACGGTGGTGCTTTGGGATGACTGCTAATAATACGAATGAAACTAGACAATACCAACAAATGTGAAAATAGGATGTGATACTGTCAATTGCATTTGACTATAAGGACAAAATGTTTAACCCAAAGATGTATTATTTTTGTGTTGTTACCTGGGGAGTGCAAAACGACAGTGTGGTTTGATAAGTCAGTTTGCAGTTTTGTAAATGCACTACTCACAACCTGCCTACAAGTCGTACATAGTGTGGAACTGATCACAGCGTTATGCATCAATGCAATGGGCTTTCTGTGGGTATCCAACACAAGGAGCGTCTCTCTATTTCAAAAAAAACAAACAAAACTAAATTATTTTGGATTAAGGCAACATAACTGCAATGTTTTACTGATCGGTAAATACTGAAAAGAAAAGGTTCGTTTCAGACCAGACGCTTCGTAATAATCTCATTTTGACGGCTGTAATGTGAAGATGGAGGTTGGCCTACATAAAAAAAACATCCAACTCAGAGCACTTTCCAACAATCAATAATGTTAACCTGTATTTCAGAGCTGTTAATTTCCCACCCTGGGAGAGCAGTTCACACGAGAAGTCCTGTTCCACTGTGAGTCACCAGCCAGAGTCTTCCTAATTGTTGGTGTGTGTTTATTTCGGACTTTCCAGCATGGAGAGAGGTTGGGCTGTTGACTTCTTGGTCTCGGTTCCATGAAAGCACCTCGTCACGTACACACATCCCGTCCCGTGGTTGTGATTGTACCAGGTTGCGTTTCCCTTCTATGCCATATCGTCGACTCAGCGTTTGTTTGCGGCTCTCCCTGACCTGCGTTTGGGTGTGGCTTTTGCCTTCCCTGTGCCGTTATTTTTACGTGGGCCAGCGGGAGCTTCCTTCTCCTCATCTTCATTAGCCTCCTCATCAGCAGCTGCTGGCTCTGAGTTTGCAGCCTCCTCCTCTCTGCTGCCAGCAGGCGGCTCAGCGGGACTCTCCTGAGCCGAAGACGCCTGGGATGTGTTCTGTTCCTCCTCGTGAGGAAGGCTGAGGTCTTGGTCTGCGTCGCTAGTGCTGGTCGCTGAGATCAAGGCGGAATCCTGTGAGGTCAGTTCTTGTTCTGCTTGTTTCACCTCTTGCTGGTTTTCTGTCTGCACGTTCACTCGGGTGAGCGTGATGATGGGGTGCTTGGGGTTCGTGTTTTTCGCCAAACCTGCATCATCCGAGGGCAAGTTTTCATCTGAGCAGTCCGTGGTGGTTTCTGTTACAGGCCTGAGGCTGTCGGCAGCTTGGAGAGGTTCTCCGGAGGATTCAGCAGCTTCACCTTTTTGACTCACCAACACTCTGTAGCTCTGAGAAACAAAAGCATAAAAACACTGCAGTGAGTCTACAGAGATTCCTCAAGAATAACAGAATCAGTGGATGCATGCACTGGCCTTGTAAGAGCACAGGTATCGTTGGATTGAGGATTACGTAATGCTGAAGACGATTATTATTAGGGATGCACGATGTGATGTAGCGGGCGAATATTCGAATATCAAAATCGCTATCCAGATACCACTACAACGACCGAATATTCGGATATTCAGGTCCAGCCCTAGTTCTCACAGTGCTTCCTTATACTCATTTTTCAGTGTGAACAAAAATTGAATATCGACATCGGTAATATCGGTTATCGACAATATCAGAAATCTTGATATCGTATATTGGTATCGGCCAGAAATTTGAATATCGTGCATCACTAATTATTATTAATACAGTTAAGTTTAAGCTTGAATTCCTTCAATAATGCACATTTTTAGTTTAGTTTCTAATGACAACAATAATTTCATCTGGATCACTGGTATCTCTGTATTAATATTAATTGGCAGTAAGGTCATTAAAAGCTCACCTTGAGGTTCTCAAAGTGCTTCAGTGATTTGCAGTGGGTGTGTGGAGCAGAAGATTCAAAGTTGTAAAACTTGTTGCAGAGTCTGCAGATAAAACCTGCAACTGGAACTAAAAAAGTGGACCCTGCAAAAGGAAATCAGAGTCTCACTCAAATGTGTTTTAGCACAAAAGCCAACCAGTGAAACATCAGGAGTTAGTTACTGACCGTAGACTGTGTCGGGGTCGTACTGCTCATCGCTGGCCATGTCGTTCAGGGTCACTTCTTTCAGGGAGGACCAGCCATCCTGTAGCAGTGAAAGTGTTACTTTACAACCCCAAGATGATGTTAAACTTCATAGGATCTCTTAGGAGGGACTTACAAACAACAAACTATAAGCAAATCACCTGTCTGTCTCCTTGGTCTCCTTCATTACTCTGTCTTTCCTCTCCTTCCTCCATCTCATTCCCTTCCTCCTCCTCTAATGAAAAGCCATCAGTGTCCAGGGCCGTCAGCTTGGCCAAGGCCTCGCAGCCTTTTTCCTGGAGCTAGTAAACAGCGACAAGCACAATGATCAAGTTTTATTTCATCTTCATCTCTAAAAAACACTTGTTGATGCCTAAATCAGGAAAACACAGATATGTCTTCACCTTCTGTCTGTGCTCCGGCGACTGCAAGTGCTCTAAAAACATCTGTGAGGTCTTGAAGTGTTTCTTGCAGATTGAGCAGGAGGACATGTCTATTCTACTGGCGAGCTGAAAAGAAACAGAGTGAAAGCAGATTCTCAGCAGAGCAACAAGAAGCAGAATCTGTCCTAAATATTTTGTGATGTTTCTTGAACTTGGCGTGTGCACTATGTAAATGTGCTTAGAAAGGGAGCAGCGATTACTTTGTGCTCCTCTGTGCGACGGTGGTCCGTGATGCTGCTGCTGAAGTGAGTGTGACAGGTGGAACACCAACGCTTCGAGTCGGCTTTTTTCTCTCTGCAGAGAACACAGACCAACATTAGTCATGAAGACCGCGTTCTCTTTTTAACACTCTCCTTCTGTCTTTTTAACCCTCTGAACCCCAGGCAGGTTCTGGCTGTTTTCTGCTTCTGTAATATTTTTACTCACTGTGGGCACATTTTCCACTGCGATATAAACTCCTGCACTTCATCACAACCATAGCTAGAAGTAGACAAGTCAAAATATGTAACATGTGCAGCATTACAAAGTTAGAATGCCATAAATCACAAAAAAATCAAACTGTGACATTATTTGATTTCTTATTTTACAAAAACTGAAATCAACATGTACATTGTTTTCTTTGTTTTTCATACTCGTCTTCTACCTGGTCTGTGCAAACACATCCTAAAGTTCAGCCCAGTTCAGCTGTAATTTTTTTTTTGTTATGTGACTGTAGCTGAGTCACTAATGGCTTTTCAGCTGCTTGCAGAAGTGAAAAACATTTCACAGATTCTCGTAGAGAAACTGTTTATCTTTGATGAAATATTATGCTGTTAAGCTTGGATTTCGTTAGGTTTCTAGACTGAATACCACATCAGAAACATGTAGTTCAAAGATCGCTAGAAAGATTAAAACCCGATGATTCTTTCTGTTTGTACAGTTTCAAGCTCAGATAAATGGTTTACTTTTGGTGTTTTTTAATATTGCCTTTTAAACTCGCCGGAGAGTTCAGAGGGTTAAACTCAACATGAGTTTGGTTGTTATGCTTCAAATTAAAAGGTGTGTACATATATCAACTTTTAAACTTGTAATATTTTTCAAAAACAAGAATACAAAAGAGAAGCCAAGATGTATATTTTTGCATTTTAAACGGACCCGTCTTTGTTTGCTCCCTGCAGAGACTCCTGCACTCGTGGCAGCAGGGTGACCAGACAGGCGTTGCTCATGTGTTGGATCTCCATCATCCTTTGCTGGTGGGAAATGCTGTTCATATGACTCCTGAAGTTCTACAAAAAAAACACAGAGGAGAGAACGCTAAAGGTTGAAAATCATTTTACATTTGCTACCAACAAAGACGACGACCTACGTTTCACTGTTACTGTACACACTGCTGTACGTTGGTGTTTATGTTCAACCTACTTGCTGGTTGTGGCAGGTAATGCTGCAGAGGTAGCAGTAGAACTTGTTGGAGCCCTCTGCTACGCCTTCCTCTTCTTCATCCTGGTTGTCTGGTGAAGCCAAAGGGTCAGCTTTTCCCTGTGAAGTCTCTTCTGCTGGTAAATTAACCTGCTGGTGATCTTCACTCTGCCTGCTGGAGGGCGACGGGGCCGACAAACAGCTTTGCATCTACAGAGAGGAATGGCACATCAGATACGTGCATTTATCTAACTGAGTTATGACAGATTGAGACAGAAATTTTACAATCATTTGTCAGTTTTGGGCCCCTCTCACCTCATCAGCTCTGGTCTCCTCTATTGCCTCAACAACATCTGATCCTCCTGTGGAGCCTCCGTCCCCGATGCAGTCTAGGAAAATGCCAGAGGACAAAAACAAGCAATCAGTATTCATTTCAACTGAGACAGAAACATCTATTGTCCAAACTGAGCATTGGGTTTGTGTGCTTTACCTTCAGGCTGAGCGTCCTCTGTGTTGCTGTTACACTCTGAGGAAAGAACTTCCCCGTCTGTATCGGGGATCGTGACAGTCTCAACAGCACACTGTTCTTTCGGTCTTTCTGACCTGAGAGAAAGAAAGAAAAAGGCACAAAAGTTGAGGTTTTGCAAGCAAGCAAAAAGTGCGACTGTTAAGCAAGGTTACCCCAGTGCCTTCTTTATTTCTAGTAAATAAGCAAGTCATTACACTTTTATCATCTTATTTTTTCTCGTCTCTATTGACAGAACACATTGTAAAAACACTGCACACAACATTTTTCCTGTTGCATTAGGTATTTGTTAGCTCAACTACTAACAATAAAGTGTGGTGTCCCCACCCCTCTGTCTTTTGCCTCTTCACCACAGGTCCTTCAAGTTGCTCCTCAGTGATCTGAGTGGGCCCATCCACTCCTCCCACAGCACTATCTGTGGGCAGAAAATGAGAAAGCAAAGGTAGAAACACACAAAAGAATTTTCACCATCCTCTCCAAGGGTGTATTCTTCAGTACTTTAGTGTATAAGTTAAAGCAATATGGCATTCAGCTCATCAAGGCTCAAGACTCCAAACTTTTTTTTCTATTTTACTGGTGCGACTAATTTTCGTATTTGGTCGCGCCTCCCACCATGTCACAGGCAAAAACACATCACTTGTTGAACATCTGCTTATCGATAGATGCTGCAATTTACAGATGTTCCCTAAACACCTCACACTGCAGACTGTGGTAGCTGCTGTTTGGTGGCTGTGGTGTGCTCTGACCAAAAAATACGTTGGAAACAGTTAAACTGGGGCGTTCTTTGTGCAATGTGGAGTGCATCAACATGTTCCGCTCATAGAAAACAGCCAATGCAGGTGCGCTCCACATTTCATGAGAAGACCACATTTTTCAGTGGAAATACCACAGTCCATCGAGGAAGTGCTGCTTTCCACCACTGTGGTTAACACAGTGGCTGCCTGAGCTGGTTACAGTCACAGCAAAACAGCTTAATGATCATTATGCACTCACACAAAAGCGACCAGTTGAAATTTCAACTGGCACACTCTCAAAAAATCTGCAGTCCTGCTCATGCTAAATCCGTTCAAGCTCCCTTTCTGAACAGTAAACGTGTTTCATTGCTGGCTGAATCGCAGCTCTACCTGTCTGAGTCTTGTCAGTGGCTTCATCACTGGAACTGGTGGATGCTGCTGGTTGGTCGTCTGCGCTCCCTGCTGCCATCTGCTCGCTGTCTCGCTTCCTGTCTTGCTGGCGAGCTGCAGCGTCCTGCACACAGACACAGAGAACAAATATAGCGTATACGAAGAGATCTAGCAAAGAGGCTTTAACAGAATGACATCTGTTGATAGCACTGGATATAATTGGTTTTAATTCTGCATCTAAAATAAAAAAAATAACGGTAATATTCTGTTTTGATCCATGAGGATGACAAAAAAAATTGACAATAGCAAGTGTAGGTTAGATAATTCATGTGGAGTTCCTTTTTAAATGTGTTTGATTCGATCAAATCAACTAAAATAATTTGACAACTTCATCAGCTTGATCAAGAGTAAGTCCTGATTTACTTTAATTATTCTACTTCCCTGAGGACATCAAAACAAACGATTCATTTATCCTGTTCTCACGAAGGTTTGTGATTCAAGGTTACTTTCACAAATCACTAATCTGCTTATTTCCTCAACCAATTGTGAATATTATGAAAAACGCTCATCCCAATTATCCGAAAACACAAATACACAAATTTAAAGTGCGTGTTTTTTAGCCAACCAATCGTCCAAGACCTAAAGATATTCTAACAACATGAAACACACAAAACAACTGCACATATTAATATATAAGAAGCTGAAATGCTCATTTTTGGCACATTTGCTTACAGAAATCAAATAAACAGAAAATTTGTTTCACTGTTGTCCAAAAATGAAAATTCATAACAATACACGCTGGTCATCCCTTCATTAAAAAGAAACCAGAGCTAAAATAGTGAAATAACTTCATCTGCTTATTTGTCAAGCACAAGATGGAATGTCAGACTTTCCCTGAGTGAGGCATATTCAAATCAAACTATTATGAAAATTTATACAAATGAACAAAAACATTCTGATCCTGGTGCACTTGTTTACTGTGTATTGTTTAAGCAAGAGCGAAAACCTCCACAAAGCTTATAGGTATTATAATGGTGCTGTTGTAATTACTGTGGTAAAGGTGGAAGAGGCGGAGGGGGCTGTGGTGGTGATGGTGTTGCTGTTGTTGTAGTAGCGAGCATGTGGGTGGAAGGGTCGTGCGGCTGGGAAACCCATCATTGGGGACTTGATGGCCATGCCCATGGGAACCGGCCCAAGCAGGGACGACCTGGCTCCTGCAGTGAAGAACTGCCTGAACTGCTGCCCGCCCATCCCAAAGTTCCGCATGTTACCTGGACAACAGCAGGGCATAAAAGGAGACAGATAGGCAACGAAATAAGAAACCTCAAGATCATAACCCAACAATAATATATATCTATGACAATGACAGGTCTACGGCTCCTTATAAGGAGCCATTTTCTCCTTTTCCAGATGGTGCTGTCTTTACACTATAATCCAAACTGTACCCTGCATCTGCTGCATCAGGATGGCGCCCTGCAGCATAGGATTGGGGGCGATGATGGTCGTCTGGGTCGCCTGGCACAGGTTGACCATCCTGGGAGGAGGGGCTGTCTGAGGAGGAACGGGAAGGGCTCTGGGCAACAAATACAGAGGAGATAATACACATTCAGCA